ACGCATCAACAAAAAATATTTGCATTTTACTAAGTGTTAAGCGATAGGTGTGTGTGTAACGTAACGAGATATCTTATATACGCGGGTAGCGTATATAAGATATATAATATGCGAGTGGCATATCGTGATATGCGGGTATATGGAAGTAGAGTAAAGGTATATACGGATAACATAACGAGACATGGCGGTAGTGTAACGTGATATGCGAGTAGCGTAACGCGATATGCGAGTAGTCTAACGGGAGATGCGAGTAGTCTAACGGGAGATGCGAGTAGTGTAACGGGATATGCGAGTAGTGTAACGGGATATGCGAGTAGCGTAACGAGATATGCGGATAGTGTAACGGGATATGCGAGTAGTTTACGGGAGATGTGGGTAGGGTAACAGGATATGCAAGAGATGTAACGGGATATCCGAATAGTATAACGGAATATGCGGGTAGGGTAATGGGGTATAAGTGAAGAGTAACAGCATATTCGAGTAGCGTAACGATATATGCAGGTATTGTAACTGGAGTTGCGGGAAGTGTAACGAGATATGCGATACTGAGTCCATGTTCATAGTTGATATAAATTGAGTCTTGTTTTATTTTGTTTTTATTAATAAGGCTTCCATATTTTAGCCTTGTTTTTCATGTAGATAATGCTATTATATCTGTGTTGTTAACAAGTATGTTGCGAATAGGGCCGGGTAGGTCTCCCTGGGTATACACGGGGAGACCTACCCGACCCTATTCGTAACATAATATAAAGTATGTCACTTAGCTGTTTGGCGTTAGTTCAACATTTCGACACCACAATTTGGTAGGGAACCCTCCAGCAATCATTTACACACACACACACACACACACACACACACACACACACACACACACATATATATATATATATGAAAATTTCTCGGATTTAACCAGTAGAGAAGACAATATTTATAAATAAAAATGATAGTATTTTTGCTTTGATAAAGTCCACATTGGACGAAACGCGTCAGCAATTACCAGTTTTCCTATTGTCATTTTTATTCATAAACATATATATATATATATAGAAAAGTGTACATTGAAGTTAAAACTCAGAGGTTTGTGGCTGTTGACTTCAATGTCCACTTTTTATGTTTACATGCACTCTATCCCTGATATTAAGTACTTTAACTCTAAATATAGCATACCTTAAACCCATATTTTGTCATATATATATATATATATATATATATATATATATATATATATATATATATATATATATAAAAGAGAGAGAGAGGCGTGGGTTACCTATACACATACACGTAACAGAGTAGTTCGAACAGACGCTTTCCGATTGTATGAGTCACGCTTGTGAATTCTTCAAGTTATGGAATTGGAACTGAGACTGCATTGATGGAACCGTTCGTAATCCGTCGATTGTTGAAGAATCACGAAGTCACAAGTTATGCCGACGAAGGGTTTTAAGATGCCGCCCTTGTTCCAAAATGGTTGATCCCACCATATGTTTTATGCACTCTCTCCCAGAAACCATAACGACGATATGCTCAGCACAATTAGATTATAAGCCGCAAACGGAAAATATGCCGACATGTGTGATCAAAAACAAGTAGCTCGTTGAACAAGCTTTGTTTAGCCTAATGTTTCAGACTTCGTCTTATTCGAACGCATTACCAATAATTGCGTGACCAACAGTCTATCAGTTGTACGAATCACACTAAAAATGGTCTGAAATAGTCTGAAACAGCATTATTATGTTCTTTTGTACGAATTATTTAAACCAATTAATATCGTGTCATGCTCTGTCGGCCGAGGCTTTATAACAGGCCGACTGCACCTCTGCAGTGGGGAAAAACCCCCACTCTCCCCAAAAAGAGGCATCCTGGGTATGCCGATAAACTATATCTGTCAGTAAGGCGTCTGATCAGGTTTTAAAGAGCGTGGAACCATCTATTAATTGCTGGTGTTCCCTGGTCCAACGTGATCCGGGGTGGTAGCACCTGTTAGGGTCCCAGCTTTGGGCAAATAGTTAACCTACAAACTGAGGTCAAAACACTACGAAAGTGTAAAAATAGGTTTTAATACCAGCAATACATTTTTGAAAAAATTATTACCATCAATGCATTATTGAAAAAAAAAATATTATCAGTAATAAAATTCTTGTCGTTATTAAATAACCCATTGAGGTTGATATACCGTAAAATAAAAGAAAACGAACGATATTGTCTCCTCTCAATAATATTTGCTATGAAAGTGAAGTTGTAAAAATGGCTATAACTGGGAGGAAAAAGAGATGGATTCATGCCTTTCCCAAAGGTATTTGCGCATAAATGAATGTAATAAACCCGACTGGAATTCGAACTCGCTTCTCTGACTTCTCCTTCCAAGCCGTTATTCATTACACAATGGCGTAATGAAGAAAAGGAATATATGCTTACTGAAATCCTAAAAAGAGACGGCATTATAAAAATATACTTTTCTTCTGTTAGCGATTGATTTATTGAGATTTGATATTCAAAATAACCTCACTTAAAAAATTGCAATAGCCTCTAGAATGTGTCCATATTTTCTGGAGGATATTAGCTCCGAAAATATTTGCCAAATAAAACATAATTTAAAGAAGGTATCCTTCAAGGAAATGAGCGTGTCCTAATTACGCTATAAATCTTGTTAGTTCGAAAATTGGATGACATTTCATGGAGTTAAAGAGATTTTTAGAATTTCTTATTTTATATATTCTTAACCATTAATGGAAACATCTATTTTATCTCTCTTATTCCACGAAGTGCAGAATTCATTTTAACTTTTGCCATGGGCCATAAAGCTTCCTGGATGCAATTCCCAGGCAAAATTTATAAATGTTTCTACAGGTCATCATTGATACAGAATGCTTTTAATCATGAAGTGGGAAGTAAACACAAATAGATAAAGTGAATAGTAAAAACGAATAATGGTGTCTCTTTTTAACATGAGACCTCATGGAACTCCTACATACGATCCATAGCTAAAGATGAAGGACAAATGGACCGTTCGCTGTATGACACCTGTATGTACCACAGCTGTATGTACCACACCTGTATGTATCACACCTGTATGTACCTGATTCCTCTCGCTATCCTCTACTTGTATCAGAGCCAGATCAGATTTAAAAAAAGAGTACTGCTTCCATATATGAGCAGGAGCTGCCAAGTTTTCACTTTCAAGTTTCGCGTCTTTTCGTGTGCTGGATTATTTTCCATCTTACAATCCCTTTCCTCACAGTCGAAACGTTGTAGACTTTATCGCTATTTCTACGGAAAGTGTTCAGATGAATTACTTTTGTTGGTTCCACCAGTTCGAACGTTCGCGGTTAAGACCCGCTATACAACGCACACTGAAGCGAACTACCCACATTGCCCTTCGTATTCCACTGGTGAGATGTAAGTTCCACTCGAGCAGATTCTTCCGGCAGACTCCCAAGAGGATGCTTTCCCAATCGCTATAATCTTAACCCTTTGAAGTTTAGGGTTGACCATTATCTGGCCCACATATTACGACCTGCTACTTACACTTTAATCTCGAGTGGATATTTTGGCTTTTACAGTGTATGTGTCACTGCAATAAACTAATTGAGCCAAAAAATTATGTTCATAAAATATTTCCATCTATATCTGATAGCATTTAAGTTTGTTCATATATATATATATATATATATATATATATATATATATATATATATTTATGAATATGTATATATATATATCTATGTGAAAATTTCTCGATTTAACCTGTAGAAGACAATATTTATGAATAAAAATGACAATAGCAAAACTGGTAATTTCTGACGCGTTTCGTTCACATTGGACGAAACGCGTCAGCATTACTACTAGATTATCATTTTATTGTAAATTTATATTCTATAAATATATCAGTGTTATATATATATATATATATATATATATATATATATATATATATATATATATATATATATATATGAATGAGTTTCACGCTTTTGCGATCGTTTGTCTGACGATCGCAAAAGCGTGAAATTCTAGGTCCAAACTCACATCAATCCAACCAAATATGTTAGCTCTATCTCTGATATTGAGCGCTTTCTAATAAGTACGCATATAATATATAAATAATTATATATATATATATATATATATATATATATATATATCACACTTTTCTATATATATATATATATATATATATCAGTCTGTTCACATCTATAGATGTATCTGTCTCTGTTCATATCTCTCTCTCTCTCTCTCTTTATATATATATATATATATATATATATATATATATCAGTCTGTTCACATCTATAGATGTATCTGTCTCTGTTCATATCTCTCTCTCTCTCTCTTTATATATATATATATATATATATATATATATATATATATATATATATATATCAGTATGTTCATATCTACTATCTCATTTTGTTCGTATCTATCTATCTGAACTTCGTCTGTTCGTTCCTATCTATCTATCTCAGTCTGTTCATATCTAGCTAGCTAGATATCTCGCTAGATAGCTATCTCAGTCTGTTCATGTCTATTTATCTATCTCAGTTTATTCATATATATCTATCTAAACTCAGTATGTACCTTCCTATCTATCTATGTAGCTAGATAGATAGATGGACCAGTCTGATAATATTTATCTATATGTTTTTATTATGTGAAACAATGAAAAAAAGAGAAACATTATGAAAGAGCGAGACTGGCAAACATGTGTCCGGAAAAGCGTTTCATAAGCGAGATGTGCGTGAAAAAAGTTGGTTCATTGTTTTGTATTAGACAATTTGTCTCTCCAAAATCTGTCTTACATATTTCATCATTATTTCATGTTTTGAATATTGCTGCCACATATGGTCTGGTGCTCTTGCTATATATATATATATATATATATATATATTAAAATGCAAAGAAGTTAACCATGTTATTGGCCCTGACCTGGCATTTCGGCTTCACTAACTTTCCCACTGCCGTAATGTAGCTTCTTTCTGACTTTTCTTTAAACACTTTCATGTTAATATTTTAAGAAGAAGAAGAAGAAGAAGAAGAAGAAGAAGAAGAAGAAGAAGAAGATGGAGAAGAAGAAGTGGAGTGAGAGCAACTAAAAGTGAAAGTAGAAAGAAAAAGGAAAGAAAATTATAATTTAAATACGGAGCAAAAGAAATGAAGGAAAGACGAATAAAATGGAGGAAAATAAAAACAGAAAGCATCTAAAACAATTATAGGAGCAGAAAGACAAACAAAAAGAAGTAGAAGTTTAAGGAACAGAATAAAACAAGAGAGCGAAAGAAATGAGATCGATAAAAGAAGGAAAACAACAAATAGGAAGAAGAAAGAAGAAAGAAGAAAAAGGAAAAATAAGAAAGAAAAAGGAAAAAGAAGGAAGAAGAAAAGGTAAATAGAAAGTAAAAAGGGAAAAGAAGAATAAGAAAAGGAAAAAAAGAAGGGAAAGAAAAGAAGAAAAAGAATAAGAAAAGAAAAAGAAAGGAAGAAAAAGAAGAAGAAAAGGAAAAAAGAAGAAGAAAAAGTAAAGAGAAGAAAAGAAGAAGAAAAAGGAAAAAGATAAGAAAAAGAAGAGGAAACAGGAAAAAGACGAAAAAGAAGAAAAAGAACAAAATGAAAAAGAATATGAAACGAAGAAAAAGAAGAAAAGAAGAAGAAAAAGGAAAAAAAGAAAAGAAGAGGAAACAGGAAAAAGACGAAAAAAGAAAAAAGAACAAAATGAAAAAGAATATGAAAAGAAAAAGAAGAAAAGAAGAAGAAAAAGGAAAAAAAGAAAAGAAGAAGAAAAGGAAAAAAGAAAAGAAAAAGAATAAAAAGGGAGAAAAATAAGAAAAAGGTGAAGAAAAAGAAGAAGAAAAAAAGAAGAAAAAAAGCATAAGAACGCTATCATCTTTGCTATTTTAGCTTGAAGCAAATGCCTGCGGAAGCCAATGGCGACGGATGCATAGGAAAAGTCCCAGATAGAAGTGAATCACCAATGACGTCTGATTTAATAGAAATCTTTTTGTCCATTATTTTCCCTTTTATTCATCATTTTTTTTAAAAACTTGTCCTGTTCTTTCCATTTATTTATTTGTTTCCTCGCATGTTTCCCTCTTTTTCACTTGTTGATTCCTTGTACGGAATGTTTATCTAAAAGAATCAAAATGAATGCATGAATAAATGCAAATAGACACGATCGTTTGGCCCTGCGCGTATGTAAAGCAAACAGCTGCACTTTCAATTCACCTATTTCCGCTAAGGCTGCCACCAACATGAATAATGTCCACAGTAGAAGAAACAAGAAACAATTACATATTTATTCATATACTCCCACAAAGATATGTAAATTCTACAAAAACATTCCAAAATCGAACTATCCCCACTTACCTTGCAAATATAATCGCCCGTGTCTCGCACGTCTCACTCTCCATCATCCATCTCAGTGTCAGTATTTATACACTGCATACGTATCTACGTATATATATACGTACATACCCACAAATATATATATATATATATATATATATATATATATATATATATATATATCACACATTATGAAATGGACAGAATCCGACAATTATTTTTAAGACATCTTTTATAAAAAGAACGTATAAACATTAAACATGTCTTTTATATATATATATATATTATATATATATATATATATATATATATATATATATATATATAAAAATATAGTTTTATGGTATGCTATATTTATGTGCAGGATGATAGCAGCGGGGACTGAGGAACTGGAGTTCGAATTCCAGTTTAATCCATTCCATTCATTTGCGTGGCCTTAGGAAAGGTATGAATTCCTTCCCCCCATCTATGGATAAATAGCAAGACATGCCGGGTTCTACAGCCTTGGATGGCAACTGTTCTACCGCAGAAATAAATGGCAACCTACTGCGGGAAAAGAATTGCCTCGTCAGTAATGTATGGCACATTATTTATGTGTAAAAGTGCTCAATATCAGAGATAGAGCGTATGTAAATATAAAGGTGGACACTGCAGCCAACACATGGCGACAGTCTGTTTCAGTATTCAGCGCAATCTTCAGGCCATGTATGCTACAGAGGCACACCGGAAAAAAGAGCTCAATACTATGTTTACTGATAGAGCCATTATATATATATATATATATATATATATATATATTAGAAATGCCGTTTAAAACCACAACTCCTGAAAATTTTACCAAGAAACATCGATGTCGGGATAAAATTGATTTTTAAAAGTTAAGTAATATTTTCATATATATATACATATATCAACTATGTGGTGCAGTTCAGTTTACATTACATGAATCATTCATACAAAAAATAGAAGTTAATGATTTAAATGGCGAGAATACATCTTCGCAAACAAATATAATAAAGTACATTAACCCCGAACCTGTATATGAATGTTATGATCCCTGTTTATAAATTTCAGTTATTCAGTTATTTTTTCTATGAATGATTCATGTAAAATAAATATATATATATATATATGGTATTTATCAATTCACCCACAGGAATTGAATGTGGCACAAGGCCTTTTTAATGTGGGTATATATATATATATATATATATATATATATATATATATATATATCATCATCATCATCATCATCTTGCGGCCTCAGCCGAGATTGAACTCACCAATACTTTGATTGGTGTAGTTCATAATCTGTAGCTGAATTCTTGATGCTTCGCTAGGGCTATCAAGGGTGTTTTTATCGTGACACCATCACTAAATGGATTGCCAACCAAGGCTCAGAGAGACTCCATTCACCCTCCTCTAAGAGCAGGTTTGAATTCAGAGTTTTCCTTCTCCTAGACCAGTTGCCATCCAAAGCTATAGAACCCAGTCTGTCCTGCTATTTACCCATAGCTGGAGGGAGAAGAAAGAGGATTCACACCTTTCCCAAGGGTGTTAGCACGTAAGTGAATGTAATGGATTCGATTGGAATTCGAATATATATATATATATATATATATATATATATATATATATACCTGTGTGTGTGTGTTTTAGCCAGTTTGTTGGGGTGCGATGCCTATTCCAGAAATAATGGGGCACGTGGGGATACCTGTTTTGTTTACTTTAGAGAAAGTCTAATGAAAATATAAAAGAACAGAATAATAATTACTGAAACACATAGGCAGGCCCATCTCTCTACATCCGTTTGCGCACATATTCGTGTTCGGTGGCTTTAACACCCACCTTAAACACTCTGTAACTGACCCTACTGGCATTCAAACCCTTCACTTTTCAAACAGTCAATCCCTCATACAAGCGGTTGAATTCCCTACACGTTTCCCCAGTTACCTAACGATAATGCTTCCCATCTCGATCTCTGTTTTACCCCATCACACTCTTGTCGCGGCGCGAAGCTCTGCACTCTTGGCAACTCTGATCATACCGTAGTGTCTATTAACATCTCCTTCTACTCCCTCCTCCCAGTCAAGAACCTCCAACTAACAGAATAGCTTTCTGTTATCAACGAGCAGACTAGGACTCGTTCCGTGATTTCCTTCGGCACGTCGCCTGGAATGTGGTTTTTAATCACCCCGTGCAAAATTGTGCGTCTCTAGGTCTCCTCCTGGGTAAAAGCTGGCATCGATACTTTCATTCCAGCAAGATAATATAAAGTTAAATCGCGCTCATCCCCTTCGTTCTCAGCTGCTTGCTCAGCTGATATATCTCATTGGAATCACCTCTTCCGTCTGTACCGAAGCAACAGACGTCTCTCTGTCTCTACCCGTAATGAGTGTAACCGTGTCCTCAGTGAAGCAAAGATATTTATTTGCTGATAGAATGAAAAAAAGCTTGGTTCTAAAGATTATTGGCGGTTCTGAAAGAGTGTGCTGAACAACAGCAAATCCACAATACATCTTCAATTCATTCAATTTGAGATCCTAACTTCCTCAGTTGATTGGCTGGATGCTTTGCTCGGAAATTCTCATCCAATTCAACATTTGACTCGCAGTACCCACAACTGATTTTCCTCTTAGAACTGAGGCTCTATTGAGTGAGATGAATTTAAACCCCCTTCGATGGGTATCAACCGTAGTTCTAAAGAAATGTACCCCTGAACTTACTCCAGTTCTCATGCAAACTATTCCTTCGCTGATTCTTGCTTTCCAGCTTGTTGGAAATCCTTATCTGTTGTCCCTGTTTTTAAGAAATCAGGAGACCATTCTGACCCATCTAACTACCGTCCCTGACCATTCTTCGGTAAAGTTTTCGACGTTTTAATCAACGCCGAAGTGGCTAAGCACCTTAGATCCCATGATCTACACACTGACAATGAATATGGCTTCCGCTTTGCTACATGTACCGCTGACATGCTCACGGCCATAACTGAATTTGTATACCAAGCTCTTGATAATAATGCCGAAGCTCGAGCGGTGGCTCTAGATAATTCTAAGCCGTTTGATAGGTTTTGGCATGCCGGTCTTCTTCGTAAGCTTCAAAGATACGGTATTACAGGATGATTATTTGAACCGTGAAATGAAGGTCACCCTAAACGGGTTTTCATCCAGTTCTTTTCATACGAACGCTGGTGTTCCCCAAAGCTCGATCCTGGGTCCTAATTGCTTCTGATCTTCATCAACTATCTTCTTAATGTCATCAGGTCCCGAGTAGGTATCTACGCAGACGACACTAATATTTACTCCTTTCTCAATAGTAAATCCGGCAACGCTACCAAAGCTAAGCAGGCCGCTGATCTCGAAAAACACATCCAATCTGTGGTTGACTAGGGCAGGAAATGGCTTGTAAACTTTAATGCATCCAAAACGAAACTACTCTCATGAGAGAACCCTTCCCTGCATCCTATCAACATGGCTGATGACCAACTCAACGAGAGCGTCCCTCTGTGTCTTCTTGGCCTCACGTTTTACACAGAACTGAGGTGGAACAACTAAATTGAATCAATAGCTGCATCTACTGCAAGTTGATTCTGATTGTTGCATTAGAAAGTTTTTCTTGCCTCAGTTCATCCTTCAAATCTACAATTCGTCTTTGCATTGAATACTGTTACCATATATGGTCTGTTGCTACCGCTGTTCATTTCGAGGTCCTAGCCAAAAAACCAGAGACGTATATGCAATGTGATAGTACCCCTGATCTGGTACCTCGTCTAAAGTCCCTTTCTCACAGACGTGATGTGGCTTCCCTCTTTTCTACAAATATTTTCATAGCAACTGCTCTGACGAGCTATATTCACTGGTGCCCGAAATGCGTTAATTTAAGCGTGCTACTAGGTTGGTATCACGGTTCCACCCTTTTAATGTCGAAAACAGTTACATGTAACCGACTCTTCTACTGCAACAACTTCCCTCGTCAGTGGAACTTCCTTCCTCTTACTTGCTTCCCTGATAGCTATAATCTTCAACTGTAATGTCAATTGAGATTATGTGATGCCTTTATCCTGATCCCTGCCCGTCTCCATTTCCTTTCCTTAAACAGCCCTCTTTACTCTTGCTCTCACACTCTGTAACCTATTGCGTGCTAGTGACACTCCCGCCTTGCTTAGGGCGAAATGCTTAACATTTTTTTACCAAAGCTATTAGGAAACTAATTAAAAATGAAGACAAATCATGATATAAGACTAACAGAATATCACCCTAGATACCCAAACTTTAAAGTTTATATATATATATATATATATATATATATATATATATATATATATATTATTTATAATGAATAAAAGACAGACCACGTTAAGATTCCATGTAATAAGCTATTACATGTAATAGCTTATTACATGGAATCTTAACGTGGTCTGTCTTTTATTCAAACATATCTGCTCTGAATTTTACATTGAGCTCTCTGGATATCATCGTCCTCAGGTCTACCCATACGGATTACCTAAGTTTGCATAAACTATATATAT